CTACCTTTTCAGTCATGCAGTTTAGGTTTGTAAAACTGATGGGAGCCCTCCAAATTCTGAGGAGAAGGTAAGATTGTTTTTCATGGGGTTAAGATGACAAGATGAATCTCATCCATATCTATTGCACAACATAGAACCAAAGAGCTAAAAAATGCTCATACATATGTAAACATACATGCGTATGAACATTTGTACATATATTCACTCATGTACAAGAAAACTTGCACATGTATTATTTATGTGTAAATATATACGACTGGAAAGTTTCTATTGTTCTTGTGGCAAACTAATTTGAATGTTTCCTCCTATTGAGTGCATCCCAATAGATGTTCCCACTTACTCTTCACCATATTCTTCTTGCCCTCAATCTCTTCATCTAAAAGAGTGGCTTTGAGAACACACTTCTGTAGGAGTATCTAGTTAAGAACATTCATTTTTGCAACCAACAAAAACCACTGGAGCTTTCATTTAGAGATGACTACGATGATCATGATGAATGATGAGGACCATCTAATATGGATGATCGTCAACTTCAGTATCGTGGAGCGTCCAAGTCGGGTTATGCCTAGGAGACAACAAGGCCTTATATATGTATATTTGTATGTGTATATGCATTCATATGCATTCATATATGATGTATTCATGTATGTGTGTGCACGGATGTATGTTTATAGATACAAATACACACACAGTGCTGCGAGGTGTGTTAACGACTTGGTTTGTATTCAAACCACTATAGGGCTGATTATCAAAAACCCTGTAAAATAGCTGGCGGTATGGATGTGTGCCACATCAACGGTCACCAGCCAACATCGTGGAGGACACATCACCAGTTTACTCGTTTGTGTATATCTCATATAAATGTTTATGCTTATGTGTCAGAAACCTTCCTTACATGTATAAACATCATGCACTTTGGTTGCAGTGGAGCATCCAAGCTGGCTATATCCATGAAACAACAAAACTGTCGTTACTTAGCACCTATGTATATAGGGTGGATTTTTTTTGGTTGGGGCTGGTTAGGTAGGGAGGCAAAGTGGCTTTGTTAAAGCCATGCTACTATAGAAAGGTTAAGGAAAGGATAGATGGTTGGGGCTGATTAGGCAGGGAGGCAAAGTTGCTCTGTGAAGCCATGCTACTGTAGAAAGATTGGGG